CTCTCTTAGATGAACCTAAGCAGTTCAATTGTGTACTATTCTCTAGTTGTAAAAGGTAAGGGAGGAACAAAGTGGGAGGTAGGGCGAGAAGCAGGAAATAAGAGATGGTAAATTATGCCAAGGACTGTTTTGTATATTACGTAGGCAATCTCACATTAAGTAAGAATTAATCTTCACCTTTTTAGAGATGAGGAAACTGAGGTTCATGAGAGACTAAGAAACGTACCCACAGTTCAGAGCCAGGAAAACAAAAAATCAATTCAAACCCAGGTCTGACTACACACAACTCATGCTCTTTCCTGTACGTTGCAGAATCAGTCTTTTTTTTTTTTTTTTTAAGATTTTATTTATTTGCCAGAGAGAATGAGAAAGAGAGAGAGAGCACAAGCAGGGGTGTGGCAGGCAGAGGGAGAAGCAGGCTCCTCACTGAGCAGGGAGCCCGATGCGGGACTCGATCCCAGGACCCTGGGATCATGACCCAAGCCAAAGGCAGACGCTCAACCAACTGAGCCACCCAGGCACCCCATGCAGAATCAGTTTTATCTCCTCCCCTTCCTCACCCCTAAGCGCAGGTTATACAAGGAATGAGACCAGGAAAATAAAGGATAGGAAAACCCCCCATGTTCAGGAATAAACATCATATTAGGCATCTACTAGGTATAAAGCAGAGCACTCAGAACTCTGGAGAAGGCAAAGGGGAGATTGCATTAAGGTGCCATTTATACAGCACTGGTCATATGGTAGAGATGCTCCTGACAAAGTAAATGCAACACAGAGGTATAATATCCAAAACAAAGGAGATAATTAAGGCTCTACAGACATTCTACTGATCAAACCACATCTGTAGTGTGTGTTTCAGTTTTAGTCACCAGAGGATGTGTGCTGGGGAATCCACAAGAAGAGCAGGAGGATATTCGGTCTGGAAAAAAAAAACCCTTTAAAGAATCATGGTTAAATCTTCAAATACCTAAAGATCTATCTTTTATGAGCAAGATACTTGGATAATTCCTGTACAATTCTAGAAAGCAAAACCAAAATAAAGAAGTAATGTTATAGGAAAGCTCACTTCTATTTATGCTGGACGGAAGAACTTTGACAGTTCAAACCATCCAAAAATGGAACAAACCACTTCTAGATCTTGCCAATTCCCACCGCTGACAGGTTCACACAGCCTGGAAGACCATTTATTAAATATATGGTAGAGGAAATTCATGTATGGGGAATTTAGTGTGGGTTAAAGCCCTCCAAAATCCCATTCAACTCTGATTCTTCAATTCCAATTGCATATAAAAGAGTTTCCTCTCATTGCAAGGAAATCTGTACTCATTTCCTATTGCTGCCATTAACGAATTACCACAAATTTAGTGGCTTAAAACAATACAAATTTAACATCTCATCATTCTGCAGGTTAGAAGTCTGACATAGGACTCACTGGGCTAAAATTAAGGTCTCAGCAGGACTGCCTTCTTTTTGTAGGCTCTAGGGGAGAATCTATTTCCTTGCTTTTTCCAGCTTCTTGGCTCATGGCCCCCTTCCTCCATCTTCAAAATCACAATGGCAGGCTGAGTCCCTCTCATACCACATCACTCCAACCCCTTCATTTGCTCCTTTTCCATTTTTAAGACCCCTTGAGATCACACTGGACCCACCCAGATAACCCAGGATAGTCTATGTTAATTATTAATAATCTTAATTTCATTTGCACCCTGAATTCCCCTTTGCCATGTAACATAACATATTCACAGGTCCCAGGGATTAGGACGTGGATGTCTTGGGGGGCTGAGGGGACATTATTCTGACTGTCCAGTGAGGTTCTAACAAATGCCACAAGTACATTCCACCAGTTCAAGGTAGCATGTGACTCTCTGCCTCCCCTGAAGATTACAGTGGAGAAGAAAAGGATTTGGCAAGAGTATACCAGGCCTCCATGGGTTACTCAGTCTCTACCTAACTCAAGCCAACCAAATAAAATGGCAGAAAATACTTTTCTGTTCAGTATATTTTACCTCTTGATATGGGATACCAAATTACCCATGCAGCCTCCAAATATAACCTTGGGACCTAAGGCTTAGGTAAGCTAGCAAAGAAATCAACTATAATTATCTAACAAGGAAATCTCCAAAATTGGTAGGGTATAAGACCAGAAAGAAAGGAAAAATTAAAAAGGCAACCCTCCTCTCTCCTTTTGTCACCACCATATATGAGAGACCAGATGCTGCTTCCATGCCCCCTCCCCTCACGCACAGCAGACACTACCACTCCTTCACCCTTTCCCAGCCTGACACAGGCTTCACAAGGCTTCTTCAGTCTGTGCCCCAAGCAGGCACGAGCAATTATCAGAGTTGGCACATGAGAAAAAACCTTTCTGCCTTCTCTTCAGGAAAGACTCTGTTCAGTAACTTGGGGGTTTGGGTTACAGTGACTACCTTAGCAATTACTATGTATAGGGCAATGAACTAGAAATCTTGCATTCAGAAACAAAGTACAATTCATAATCTCGGCTGGCTAAGGAACACAATCTAGCAGCACTTACTGCTATTTTGTTTCTCATTGATAGAATTCCTGATCTCGTATTACATTTTTCTGTACAGTTGACAACACAAGAGTTAGGGGTGCTGCCCCCCACCACCGTCAAAAATCCACGCAGAACTTTTGATTCCCCCAAAACTTAAATGCTAATAGCCTACTGTTAACCAGAAGCCTTACTAATAATATAAACAGTTGATTAACACATATTTTGTATGTTATATATATCACATACTGTATTCTTATAAAAATAAGCCAGAGAAAAGGAAATGTTATCAAGGAAATCATAAAGAAGAGAATACATTCACAGTACTACACTGTATTTTAAAAATCTGCATAAAAGTGGACCTGTGTAGTTCAAACCCATGTTGTTCAAGGGTCAGCTGTACTTACCTGGAGTTTTATCATTATACTGCCTTAGGATCCCCAGTATTTGAATCACAATGTAATTCCTGAATTGTTATTTCTTTTCATAGGAATATTTATGTGAGGTGTTTTTCTGAGAGTCCTTTTGGTCACCATAAATTGTCTATCATCAGTCAGGATTCTTTCCACTGTAGTCAACAGAACACCCTATCAGAACTAGTTAAAGCAAAAAAAGGAATTTATTGACTAACAGCCCGAAAAATCTAGGGGTAGATCTGGCACTGGCCCTTTCCAGAGCCTCAAATGATGCTGTGGGACCACTTCACCCCCGGCATCATTTCCCCTCTGTCTCCCCTTATTGACCTTATTCTCCTGCATGCTCTTGCCTTGCATGGACAAGATGACTTTCAACTGTGACAGGCCTACCTTACATTTTCCCAGAAAGTCTTAGACTGAATTTTAGTGGTTTACATTGACCTAGCTCAAGTACTGTGCTCACCTGTGAAACAGTCACCACAATAAGAGAAATGCAAACCTCTGATTAACCAGCCCTCAACATCTGCCAACTCCTGAAGCAGGATTGCATTCAACACCATTTGAAACACATGAAATAAAAGGAAGAAATGGACTCCCCAAGGGAAATTGGGATTCTGATACCAGATGGGAAAACTGATGCTGAGTAGGCAGAAATATCAGGCAATCCCTATACTTGGATGCACTTGAGTTACGTTATTAGCTGCTCTCTGGTTCAGTATTAGCTGAGAGCAGGACAGGGAAAAGCATGCCATCATTTGAATAGGAGAAGGTGTTGAGGAGACTGTTCAAAGCTTAATCTACAGTCCAAGGAAGTGGGACTAGGTGGGCCCCTACAGTACAGGGGCCATGGGCAATCTGCATGACCTTTTAGGATGCAAGTCCAGAAGACATTCAACAGCCACTGAAAGGAGAGCACTTACCAATTCACAAGCCTCCTTCATTTTGCCTAACCCTGAAATAACTTCTAAGTGAATAAAATAAAACATAAAATAAGAGGACAAAAGGATTCAGAATCAGGCAACCTGGCTTTGAGCCCCATCACTTGACATGATCTTGGGCATGTCACTTAACTTCACAAGGCCTCAGTTTCATCTTCTATAAAAATGGAATTAATAGGGGCACCTGAGTGCCTCAGTTGGTTAAGCGTCTGCCTTCAGCTCAGGTCATGATCTCAGGACCCTGCTCAGCTGGGAGCCTGCTTCTCCCTCTCCCTCTGTTGTTCCCTCTGCTTGTGTTCCCTCTCTCTCTGTCTCTCTCTCTGTCTCTCAAATAAATAAAATCTTTAAGAATAAATAAAATAAAAATAAAAAAATTTTTAAATGGGATTAATAATAAGTCCTACCTTACACAGAATTAAATGTAATCATATGCGTAAGGATCATTTCTTAAAGTGCTACAACCCTCCCAACCACATGGCTGTTGCAATGAGACTTTGCTGTTCCTCTTCTCTATTGACCCTCCCTTTGATTCTGGGCTGGCCCTGGGAGTTGCTTTGTCCAACAGAAGGAGCCAGAAGTGATGTGTGGTTTCCAAGGTTAGCCTATAAGAAGGCTTGTAGCTTCCATTTTCGCACTTTTGGAAAACTCCCTCTTGAAAGTCAGGCACTGTACCATAGAGAAGCTCTGTCTAGACTACAGAATAAGGAGAAGGCACATACCAACAGACCCTGGAGAATCGAAGCCATCTTGAATGTTGCAAGCCTAGTTGAGCTCTCAGCTGAAGAGAGCTGCACAAATGTCCCCAGCTGCACCACATGGAGCAGAAAAACAGCCCAGCTGAGCCCAGTCAACCCACAGAATCATGAGAAATAACAGAGCAGTTTATAACAGAGCAGTGGTGATTAAGACAATGTGTACCCAGAGTGTCCCAGTGGCCCTTGTACTTTCCTATAGTGTTTCTCAAAAGGAATGTTATTTGCACTTTAGGCAGAACAATTCCTCATTTGTGGGACTGTCTCGTGTTTTGTAGGACTTTCAGAATCATTGGCCCTTCGCAGTCATGGAGAGAATCAAATACGTCACCCCTCCAGACCCAAACACCCCCTGCTATGAACCAAATCCAAGAGCACTTACTTCTGGGAGGGTGAGGACTTCAGAGGTCAGCTTCACTAATCATAAGGCAGGAACCGTATTCTCTCTGTGTATCCTGATCCTCATTAGGAGTTGAAACATCTTCTTCCCTGGCATTTCATGCTGCCTTCAAAGAAAGGGGCTGCATCAGGCCATACCGAAACGGAGTTTATAATGCCTATAAAATTTATGATGCCATTTGATGTAAATAATGCAACCAGATGTGATAAATTTGCATAGTTTGGCCTTGAAGGGGCTCCAAAGAAAACTGTCATCTACCACTGAGTGCAGTTAATGTACAAATCATCAACATTCTTTCTCTAATTTATCCCATTTATTAGTACTTTGGGATCTGGGAAAATAAGTAAATGAACATTATTCTTGGCTGCATGATCATCCTTGTCTTTTTCTCTTGATGGATCTCTGTAACAGAAACTCCTAATTTAACAGATTGACAACACAAGACAGGATATTGTGGAGATGAAATTTCTCTAAGATAAATATCACTTTCTAGGAGGCAGAGGACTTGAGAAGTGACCTCCTAAAAAAGAGCTGCCATTAACCATGAATATCTGTTCTTTGTAAACACCAGGAAGACCAAAACTTTATCTGTTAATTTCATCACAGTGAGATTGCAGAGTTTATATGCTCTTTTCTGGACAGCTTCAAATTTCCAAGGCCAGCTTCAAGGGCAAGCTTTCCTTCAGGCACTGAGGCATCAGTACTCCTGTCTTAATAAGATATAAAATATTCCTTGGGGCACCTGGGTGGCTCAGTTGTTAAACATCTGCCTTCGGCTCAGGTCACGATCCCAGGGTCCTGGGATCGAGCCCCACATCGGGCTCCCTGCTCCGTGGGAAGCCTGCTTCTCCCTCTCCCACTCTCCCTGCTTATGTTCCTACTCTCGCTAGCTCTCTCTCTCTGTCAAATAAATAAATAAAAATAAATAAAAATAAAAAATAAAATATTCCTTCTACCCCATCCTTCTATCCATATCAATTCCCCCTTTCATATTTCCATTAATTTATAATCTCATGTTCCTACTAAATATTAGTTGAAAAATGGATGGTAATTTCTTTGAGCACATCTCTTGTCAATTTAGCTCTGGACAAAAGCTGCTAGTATGTTGGGCTGGCACACGTCACCCAAAGAAGATACTGGATACTGAGATAGAATTTGTAATTAGGCTTCCCAAAATAACAAAATTATACTTTAAGTCCTTGTATTATACTTACTAAAGATTATACAAATTCCTCAGTGATCTTAGGGGAGTAGAAGAGAGAAATAACTAGATTATTAGGAAAAAAATAAGATATTATGTAAGAATATAATGACATCTGTGTTTCTTGTATGGCTATCCGAACATGGTACTACATGTACCAGTTGTACAAGTGAAAGCAGCAAAATGTAGGCGTTCTCAGCTTTGAAAACTAATTGCTATATTAAGGGAAAAACAGAAAGAGAGAGAGAAACCTAATACTGAATATGCTAAAATTTAAACCTAAAATATATTCCTTAGAAAAATACATATGTTAGGATTCAAGTAGGTGAAAATATCCTACTTTTTACCCTGGTCTATTTTAGAAAAATCTGCTCCTTGGTAAATGAATAATATGCTTATACTTCAAGTATATTTTTAATAGTTAACATTCCAAAGTCCATATAACATTTATTTTAATAAAATTTGATATTTTTAAAAAAGGAAAAAAACATTTTTCATTTTACGGAAGGATTCACAACCAGGTTTCATTATGTACTAATACCCTTTGGGAAATTCTAATGTGATTACACTTATTAAAAGTTAATGCATATACACATTTTCATAAATTGATCTTTTGTGTAAATTGAGATACACACTCCTGGCAAGGGCTATATTCATCTCCAACCCCTGGAATGTTAATCTCTCAAAAGCCCTCCCTCTCCTCCTCCCTGCCTTAAATCCTTTATCAATCTTCACTGGCCTATCCCAGAAGTCTCCTACATCAAAACCATAATTCTTTTTCCTAGTGTCAACCAAAGAAATACCAAAGGAAAGATATTTACTTAATTAGGTAATGTGGTGACATCAGCTAAACCAGAGAGTTGGACAATCCAAATTCCAAAATAATTCAAAGGACCTGAACATCTGACAGCCCATTTTATTTACCTTTGGGACGTCAGATGAAAGCACTTACAGTGATCTTTTCTTTTAATGAAAAATGAACTCTTCTGTCCACTGTGGAATATAAAGAACATCAGGGCAGCTGTGCAGCCTAGATGGACAAAATATAGATCTACTGACCAACCAAAAGGAAAAAAAGAGGTCAATTTCCATTAATTAATCACAGTCCCTAAATCTGCCTGTTTCCACAGCTATTATGGTGGAGAGAGACTAAAGTCCAAATCTATCTTAATCTAAGGCCAAGTTCTCTCGACACTGCCACACTGTCTCCTGATTTTCTTCTATGAGTTTTCTGAATTTTGTTCATGATAAGTAAACGTGCTTTATGGCTGAATCCTGTGGGATTATTGTGTTGTTTTGTTTTGAGGGATGTGCTAATAATGTTTTTATTTTTCATCAAGCTCATTTCTGTTTGTCTTGGTCATGAAACATGCTATAATTTTAATTAAAATACAAAGAAAGGGGGAAAGGAGAGGCCAAAGCCAATAGGATGAAAGAAGCAGAGTGAAGTTAAGTTTGGTGCTGATGAGTAAGATAATGAGATAGGGGAGGGGGGGAGGAAGAGGAGATAAACTGGAAAGATCTAGAGGATGCAAGGATAAAGAAGATCTGGGAACTTCCTCCCAGTGGTGGCAGACTGAGTAATTTGGGCCAACTCTCTTGTTGAAGGAAACTAAAATATCCAGACAGAATATAAAAATCATGTTCTTTAAACTACCAAGCTAAAAAGACAGTATGGAATTACTGGGCCAAGATCTACAAGAAAATAGAAAGCCAAAGATGTGAGTCTGGAAAGTTGGCCAATCTGGAAGAGGCAGCTGAGACACTGAGCAGTGCTTCTGACATCTTTGTAGGGTCGAAGGGACAAAATGTGTGGTACCTCTGACAGGGAACTTATAAAACTTCACTGAAAGACAGCAAAGGTGACCTAAATAAATGGAGAGAGATGCCATTGTTCGTGGATTGGAAGACTCAGTATTGTATGGATGCCCCAAGACACAAATAAACCTATGGAACAGAATAGAGTGACTAGACATAGGCTAAGTCATAAATGGCACTTGATATAGAGGGGATACTCACAGGAGTGGGGAAAGGACAATTGGACATCCACATGAGGAAAATGAGACTTGACTTCCAACCTCACACTCCATCACTAGCTGCGCCCACCTCCCTACACACACACACACCCACAGAAAACATTTATAAGAATATTCATAGAAACACTGTGAAAGAGTAAAATTTTAAAAAGCCAAATAACACATGTACATAAAGAGTAGAATGAATAAAGTGTGTAATGTTCACATAATGAAATACAATAGTGCCATGAAAATGAACGTTGCCACATGGATGTAATGTTTTAAAATGTTAAAAATTTTGTTACAGAAAAACTAAAAATATACTAAAAAATATATTGTTCAGCGATGCAAACATATGTATGTCATAAAACTATAAAATAAAAGTAAGTAACTGATAAATGCAAAATTCAGAAGAGTGGATACCTCTAGGGAAAAAGGATGGGCTTGAGGAAGGCACAAAGGCACTAACAGTGTGTTCTTTTTCTTAAACTAAGGTGTAGGTGATTGATGTTCTTTGTATTCTAATTGTTATTTTGTATCTACTTAAAGTTAATAGAAATGTAACAAATACATGCATTGGCCCAATACTGAAGGGCCAGGTTTGAACTCAACATTCAGATGAGGTCAAAACCAAAGGTGAAGCTATCACAGAATGAAATTCTTGAGACAGAATAAATCTGAGTATTTTTCCAGAAAATAAACTGAATCACTGCTCTGATATGATTACTTAAAATATTATTTCTCAAATATTAAAGTTCACTTTATAGTGCTGGAATAATCATTTCTCAGCTCCATTGACTTAGATTGTCCCTATGCATGGTCATGTACCACATATTCACAAAATCAAATAGACCCTTCCTTTCAACTGAGGTTAGCAAAAGGGAAAGAATTTTTTTTTTGCCAAATCTAGTCAAAATAGTCTACTGCTGGTAGTAATGCTGCCCTTCCACTCTAGTAGCAAGTGGATTAAAGTAAACTCTTATCTCCCCTGCTCCTTCTGGACTTAAGATCTAGTCAACAGCGACTGTGCAATTTCACTGAAGCAAACTCACAAACAGAATCTCTGTGCATTTTTTTTTTTTTAAAGATTTTATTTATTTATTTGACAGAGAGAGACACAGTGAGAGCAGGATCACAAGCAGGGGGAGAGGGAGAGGGAGAAACAGGCTTCCCTCGGAGCAGGGAGCCCGATGCGGGGCTCGATCCCAGGACTCTGGGATCATGACCTGAGCCGAAGGCAGACGCTTAACGACTGAGCCACCCAGGCGCCCCAAGTTGCATTTTTTTTTAAAGATTTTATTTATTTATTTGACAGAGAGAGAGGGAACACAAGCAGGGTCAGTGGGAGAGGGAGAAGCGGGCTCTCGGCTGAGCAGGGAGCCTGATGCGGGGCTCAGTCCCAGGACCCTGGGATCATGACCTGAGCCGAAGGCAGATGCTTAACAACTGAGCCACCCAGGCGCCCCTCTCTGTGCATTTCTGGAGGAAGATGCTTTCAGAATACTTTCAGAAGCAAAAGCAAGTGTTTGCCCTCACTGATATTTTTTATTTTTAATATTATGCAAGAACTTACTATTTTAATTTGCCCTTAAACCTTAGATCTAGAAATGTGTCAATAGAGCACCATAAATGTCTTCCAAGATAGCAAAACAGTCTCTTTCTATTTGCATCTTCGCTTTCAATAGATGGACAGCGATTTCACCATCTTTCCTGGAGCAACATGAGAAATGAATCCTTAAAGTAGATATCATGCTAGAAATACCTGCACCCTCCAGTTCATGAGTTAGGTTATCTCTTCATTAGGTTCCAGCAAATGAACTATTTTGTCTTCAGGAGTCCCACTTTTTCTAAGTCCTGGCTTGTTAGTAATACTATGTATTGCTATGTGTTCAGGAAGACTTCAAAATGTAGTAGCTACTCCTTTCCTGTTTGAATGTTGTGTATGACTATTTGACAAGGCAGTTCCAAAACCTCGTGGATATTATGGTGCGTGTCTTTGGCTGAGGAAGAATAATAAGTGGTCCACTAC